AGAGAGAGAGAGAGAGAGAGAGAGAGAGAGAGAGAGAGAGAGAGAGAGAGAGAGAGAGAGAGAGAGAGAGAGAAGTGGGGTTGGGGAGGACTGAGCAGGGTCAGGGAGGGTGGTTGGTGAAAGGTTGTGTTCTAATGTGGACTCAGAGAGGGTGGTTGGTGTGGTATAGCTCGTGCCGTCTTGTTGTTCTCAGGTATCCTTTCTTGGGTTTTCCTTTCTGTTGTGCTGCAGCTCTATTTGCCTCTCTGCCTGTGAAAAGTGAATGTTGTGATTGTTCTGCCGTAACGAAGGTGATGAATGATGATCACTCAGCATGACGGTATGTGAGTTGTTGGTACGTGCTCGTCCTTTTTTAGCATGCAGTTGGTCCTCTCACTTAAAGATGATGGCCTTTTCCCGCCCTGTGGTATTATTTCTGGCTTTGTGGGGATGTGTGTATATCTGGATTGCTGACGCCAGGCTTTTGCTTTTGGTTACGTGTCTTCTAGAGATGGTGATGGAGTCGGTGTTCCTGCCATGAGTGATCTGTGAATGCCAGGAAGCCATGACCACACAGCACCACGCTCAGCGGCACTGCTCCTATTAGAAGGCTCTATTTCTTCTCGTGGCAATGGACCCAAACGCGGGAGTCGTGTGTCATAGTAATGGAAACGATCAAGAAAATCCGCAGGAACCTTCAACTCATCCCAAGAGTCCACCGAAGTCACCTGATGAGGAGACAGTTGGAACTCCCGAATTTGGTCTTCAAACTGGGGAGCAGCCTGCGCCGATTGGAAGCAGCCAACCTCCATCAACTGGGCAAGATTCTGTCTTACCGTCCCAACCTGTGGATAACACTCCACCGCCCACACCTATTGACAGTCTTTCATCCTCCAATCTTCCACCGCCATTCCTCACAAAGACCTATGACATGGTCGAGGATCCAGCGACTGATGACATTGTGTCGTGGACCCAGTCTAACACCAGTTTCGTTGTCTGGGACCCTGCGGAGCTTGCACGCGATGTGCTCCCCAAATACTTCAAGCACAACAATTTTTCGAGCTTTGTGCGCCAGCTGAACACCTATGGGTTCAGGAAAGTGGATCCCGATCAGTGGGAATTCTATAACAAGTGGTTTGTACGTGGGCAAAAGCACTTTCTGAAGAACATCCACAGACGGAAGCCAGAGCGGAGTCAGCTCCAGCAACATGGGATGGGTCCATCTTCTGTGGGCGCTTGCATAGAGGTGGGAAAGTTTGGACTGGAGGGTGATATCGAGCAACTGAAGAGAGACAAAAACGTTCTGATGCTGGAACTCGTGCGGTTGCGTCGGAACCAGGAATTAATGGACAATCGACTGCAGGTCGCCAACTCGCGACTCGGGGTAATGGAACAACAGCAGCAGACAGTTATGGCATTTCTTGCCGAGTTCGTTAAGAATCCTAGCTTCCTTGCCCAATTCGTTCAACGAAATGACAAGGCCCAACCTCGTATCACAGTTAGGAAGAAGCGACGGCTTCCGCCAAAGCAGAACGGTGGCCTGAATGGCCCGGCCGATGCCAATTCAGGACAGTTAATCCATTATCATCAGTTTCAACCTATGGCCCAAGACACGACTCGTGCGTCGCTGACGGAGTTGACGAATGATTCGGACATTACGAGCACCCCGATGGATACTGCAGAGGAAGGCATAGGGCAGCCGGACCGGAACGTTTCCAATTCTGCGTTGGAATCCTTCCTCAGAGACCTGAATGCTCATTTAGCGAAGCCTTCCAATCATCTACGGACCTCAGGCCTCACTCTGACAGAGGTTGGCCAACTTACCGTACCCGCAACAATGATGCCAACGCTTTCAAATGGATCGCCTGAAGCACCTGTTGCTGGCAACCACCAGGAAACCGCCTCAGGGATGCCCGCCGGCATGTTGCCAAGGGATGGCAGTGCAGCCCATGTCCCCCCCCCGCCAGATAGCACATCATCAATAACAAACGGCCCAGAGTTGAAGCAAGAGTACACGGCCACGGCCGTGGGAGCAGGTCCACTGAGTAGCGGTGGCAACCTGATGGGTCAATTGGTTACGGAGCCTTTACCGGAGGTCAGCACGGTCGTAAATGAGGCTTTAGCTGTGCCGGTGGCCAACGGAGGGCGGCCGGTGGCAGCAGGCGAAGGGGCACTAATCTGCGCCACATCGGATGCATCTCCCTCACCCATTGATCAGGATTTACTGTTGGAGGACTTGGGAGAGGGCCTTATGGGAGGGGAGGGCTTGGAAGTTATGAACCTTTTGAGAGTAGAAGAAGGTGATCAGCAGGCTAGGGACGGTGCAGAAGCTGATCATGTACATGGTACAACGGTCGGGGAAGTGGAGATGGATGCTATGAACCTTTTGAGAGTAGAAGAAGATGATCAGCAGGTTAGAGACGGTGCAGAAGCTGCTCGTGTACATGGTACTATGGTCGGGGAAGTGGACATGGGTATGGATGAAGAGCAGGAGAGCAATGCTGGGGTGTCGAATGCTGTAACACTGTTTGATGACGCATCATTCTGGGCCAATTTGTTTGCTAATCATTCAGAGGACGAAGATAGTGCGCTTCCCTTATCGATAGATGATGGAGCAAAAACGGAAGGCGTCGGATCTGCAATGGGTGAATCAACAGCGGCTGCGAGAGGAGACATGATTGATTCGTCGGAGATTGTGGATCAGGATGGGATGGAAGAAGGGCAGACTCTCTGGTGGCTTCCGTCACAAGTATACTCAGACCAACTTGATAACATTGTGGAACAGATGGGGCAGCTGGCCCCACTTAATCCATCCTAGAAGGTAGATTGTTTTCGTATATTCTGCTTGCGCAGCTCAATCCAACTGCTTTGTTGCGCCCCCTTGTGGGTCGTTGAAGGAACGCGGATCTCTGTATCATTTTCTCTCTTCTGCCTGGAGAGGGAGGTAAATGCAAACTGGCACTCAGTTTCTTCCAGCCGCTGCAAGAAGTCTGGCCAGATGTTGCGGTACATGTCATGAAGAGGCTGCCGCAGGGATCTTATACTGAGGTTGATAGAGAGTGGTATTGTCAAGGGGGGCAGAGAGAGGGATAGCCTTCTTTGCAATGTTGGCCTGTCGTCAAGGAGGCATGGAAAGGGACAATATGTGTTTGCAATGTTGACCTGCGGTCCTGTGCCATCACTATATTTGTGCAGTGTACAGCGTTTTGCAGTGCTGATGATAAAGCGTTATAAGGTTGTGTCCCTAGGTAGTTGGCACATGTTCTTGTCTCGCTGTTAACCAGGACTTTTCACATGTTCTTGTATCGCTGTTAACCAGGACTTTTCACATGTTCTTGTATCGCTGTTAACCAGGACTTTTCACA